TGCATGTTTATTCTTCATGGCTGTTCATGAAGGCTGGATGATGTTGGTGATGTGGTATTGTAGAAAGTAGGAGTGCACATTGTATTGTAAGACATGCCACATTCTAGCTATGGTGGATCTACAACATTTTGAAACAGATTTTCTATGAAACCATCACATCATATGTATTATACAATCACCTTTTCATTAATTATACTAATTACAATACATCTACAATTATTTTGAACTAATATAATTTTTAACCAACTGCATCAATTATGTGTACTTTCAATAATAATGATGTTCTGCTTGTATTGTTTCACATATTTTTTATATTTGATAAATGAATGCATTATTATTATTATTATTACTATTATAATTTATTATCAGTTCTTTTTCTTTGCTAATTGTTATTAGCCTCTTTTTCTCCCCCATTTTATGCTACAAAATGTCAGACAAACAAGGTTCTTTTTTCTTTTCCTTCTCTATATTTGTGCCTCATTTTCTAATTTTCTCTGAAACGCAATAAAATTACATTGCAATAAGTTTTATACTTGTCAAGCTTCTACCGCCTTGCCCTTCAGATACTATTTCGATTTGTGTTCTGCCTGACTGGATCCACAGCATTGTCAGAGTCAGTAGAGACTCCAGTTTTATCACCCATAACAAATAAAAGTTATCTTCACTCTTTAAAGCCTAGCTGTGACTCTGAGAGTCCACAAGTTCAACAGCATATTGTTGATGGAAGGCTATAATGCCAATGAGCAGATGAGACAATTAGATTGTAACCATTTGTTTAAAGGATTTAGAGTCTCTTTATTGCCTCTGCAAGCCATTATTAGTGTTTTATTGTTTTGCCATATATGGAAGCACAGATTAGACAAGAGATCATTTTACAGTTCATGGGGCTATGTTGCAGGGGAGCCCATTAAAAGGTGTCCTCTAGGAACCTATGAAGTGGTACACACACAGGAGTCAAAACCCACTAATTTTGGAGCATCATCAGAACATTTTTTTCAGCCTTGGTGTGTGGGAAATGTAAACTGTAAGCCAAAGCGCCTATAAAAGAAAACATGGTTTCTTGTAGAGCAAGCAACTTTTCAAAGCTCTAATCTAGAGAATCTGCTGATTAATGAACATAAGAAGAGTTCTACTGGATCAGACCAAAGACCTATGTACAGTCCTAGCATTCCGTCCTCACAGTAGCCAAGCAGATGCCTATAGGAAGCCAATAATACATATGCAACCAGTGTTCCTGATGATTACCATCTAGATCCATCAATTTTCAGTTCTCATATTGGCACAAGAACAGCCTAGAAGCTTTTGGTTGTCTTTGCAACCATCAAGCATGGTATATTTCTGGATAAGCTTTCAGGGATGAGGAATGGGGGCTCTGTTGGGAAGGTTCTTACCTAAAGAGCTGGTTGCCAAACGTGGTTCTAGGAGACTTCTGTATGCCCCATGGTACTAGTGTTATGGCAGTGATGGAGAACCTCCTCCCACCTATCCACCTCAGCATTCATACGTATCTCATTGATTTTGGTTAATTTGGTTGAAAAATTCTGATTACAGATTCTATAGTTGTTACATTTTAATAAACACACCCATCTTTCTTGGCCCGAGTCTTCTTGGATGTGTTGACAATTAGCATTTAACACAATCACTTTTGGTTCCTTGCATTTTGTGGTTCCCTTGGTCTGCTTGGAGCACTTCTCTGCTTTGCAATGCAGCCATTGCTTGGTATTCTGTGTCATGGCTGCAATTGCAACTTGAACTCAGGACCTTTGGAATCTGTAACCTTCTGCTTTCACTGTAAATCAGAGTCACTTGACATTGGTTGCTATGGCACTGGTGATGTTCTGGTTGCTGGTGTCTCCTTCCTTGCATCTTCAACATAGCACCACCCACCTTCCTCTTTCTGTGCAGCCACAATAGGAGCATATGAAGCTTCCTGGCTCCTTTAAAAATTAATGTTTTTTTGTGTTCATATTCTTGTCCCTTGCTCCCTTTAAAAATAGCTTTGACAACTTGGAGAGGAGGCTGAGTGATACCACTCTGCCCCCAGTGTGATGGGGATGCTGTATGGTTTTATGTGTTGCTTATTACTAAATAAGTTTCTTTCCCATGTTGATTTGGAGAGGAGGTCTAGAGTATCATGCTTGGACAATGAGATTTTGATTTTACTTTGCTGCCTACAGAACTGAGATGTGATCTGCATGTGTAATATGGGATGCTGCTTGCGGGGCCCTGTTATCCATGCTTGGTTAAGTTCCCAATTAGGTTCCTCTAGTACACTGCCCAAGGAGCCACCCTTGAAGATTGTCTGGAAACTGCTGTTAGTTCCCCTCAAAATAGCCCCCTCGATTGCGACCTGGACTTAAATGGTGAAAGCATATCTGACAGTATTTAAACTACAACATTGGTGCCTGGTCCATTTTTAGGCACATTTCAAGCTTCTGAGTGCTTGCTTTTGTTACATCAACATTATACCAATTTCATGGATGCCACTGCAATTCTGGGCCAAGTTCAAAGTGCTGGTTTTAATCTTTCAAGCCCTAAACAGTCTGTAAATAGGTTGCATGATGACCATCTTCACTCATTTGACATGGTTGTTTATTCTAATTTGTAGTGCATTGTTGTGATATTTTAGTGTCTTTTACATGCACACTAAGCTCCCTTACAAGGGTATTTGCCCTAAAAGACAATCTGGAAAGTCTTTTTAAAGAAAGTACAAAGGAACAAAGGATACATACATACATATATACATACATACATACATACATACATACATGGATCACTATCATAGCCTTTTAAATATATGCCAGCTATGATAAATGGGAAAAGACAAGGTCCTACAAGGAGTCATTTCTACACATGCACACCCTTCCAAAAATGTCAGAAAATTTTAAAGTTTTATACCTCAGCTTTCCTAAGAATAGTTCAAGGCAACTAACATCATCAATAATAAAACAAAATAATTAAAAATGCAATTAAACAGCATAAAACAGTGAGATAAAACAGTCTATGGCAGCACAAACGACAGAATACCTACATCAATTAGCACTTTATAACAGGAACAGATTGAAAAAACAGCGAGGTATTAGAGGGCACAGTAAGGATGGGCTGAGCAGATATTTCTGTGCAGTTTTGGTCTTGCAGAATTAATTGTACTTCTGTCCCCTTACATGCTGCCCTGTCCCCTTGCAAGACATTCCATCTTGTGAGACTTTTAGGTTTAGAGAAATAGGCAAGTAAGAGAGGCAGAGGCACCAGCTTCGCCAGAAGAAAGTGTGGGCCAATAGGACATTGTGGAATGTCCTGGTGTCATGTGCGCAATGTTACGAGGAACCGGGGGGGGGGAGCTGGACACCCTCTGAAAATTATGTGGGCCTGGTCCCTTAAAAATATATATTTTTGGGAGTGCTGAAACTGCCTCAATCCCTAGGAGTTGGTATCTATAAAGATAAGACATGATAGAGTATAAAAGTATGCATCATGTAGAGAAAGTGGTCCAAGAAAAGCATTTCTTCTTCTTATGGACATCCAATGAAGCTGAATGTTGAAAGTTTCAGGACAGACAAAGGAAAGTGTTGTTTTTTTTACTCAATGCAGATTTAAAATATAGTACACACCCACAGGAGGCAGTGATGGCCACAGACTTGAATGAGGCTTAGACAAATTCATGGCTACTAGCCACAATGATTATGTTTTACCTCCACTGCAAAACGCAGTAAGTCTCTGAATACCAGTTGCTGGGTATCCCAAGTGGGGAGACTGCTGGTGTGCTGAGGTTCTTCTTGGGGGCTTGCCTTGGGCATCTGGTTGGCCACTATGAGAACAGACTGATTGACTAGAAGGGCCTTTGAGCTGATCCTGCAAGCTTTTCTTACAAGACATGTCATGCCTTTTATACACAACTTTTACATAAACTATATACTTTTAAGTGCTTTCCAGTCCATTCACTGGTGAAATGTGCATTTCGTATGCATCTTCTTATGTAAACTACATATTTTAGTCTGCACTTTTTATGCTGCAAAATCCAGGGAGGTACATAATCCAACTCAAAAGTTGTGTTCCCATAAAGAGGTTCAAGGGCATCAGATTGAGTCAATCTGATGCAAATCAGTAGACCAAGTGAAGTCTACCCCTATTCTTGGGATGAATACCCCTCTCAAAATAAATGTTTTTGATATCTGGTGCAAAAATATCAAAATAAAGGATAATATTTTTTTTTTTTTTTTTTGAGGATTTTTATTAAGTTAGTTTATAATTGTGCAGAAAGAAAGAAAATTCAGCCACCTTCATCATTTGGCTCTGGCGACATTAGCAGTGACACCCCTCCCCACAGGAACACACAGGTGGAAGACTAGCTTCTGGAATGTGGCCAGTGCTGACTTTGCAGTAGGATGCATAGACGTTTCATCGGCATAAGGGGGGAAACAACTGCCTTTGCTTTTAGTACGTGAAAACAAACGGCTGGTCCCAAACAAAAAACAAACTAACCCATATTCTCGGAACAAAACCAGTTTCATCTGAAGAACATCTTCCTCCTCCTGGCACAGTGCATCTCAAAACATGGATCACTGTGGATCAACACTGTCCGTCCAAGGAGACTTGCCATAAACTTGGAACATGTGTAAATTGTGTCTCTTTGCTTGGAAGAGAATTGGAAGCAAGAGGTCATGTGTGGTTTCAGATATATTCAAGGACCTGGAACAAGGATTCTGTCATGACTAAAAGGAGGCTGGGGAGAATCTCTGGCTCACTTCTCTTGTCAACTGCTGGTTAAAAACGTAATACAGGATTTTAAAATATAACACCCCACCCCCATATAAAATATATTTTCATGTATAAAATCCCAAAGAAGGTGCAAGTAGTAGGATCCAGCCCCAAACACGCCAAGTTATGTAGGTGCACGTGATGGATAGTCTGATGGAGGCTTGGTCCATTTCCTGGAGAGGGATGCTGGTTGCTAGGATACAGCTTTGTCCTCCAAAGCAAAGTACACAAAGCTGACTAACCGATACTGTTGTGAAGCATCTCCTTCTCTTGCAGGGCTGCCATGGCCAGGCGCAGATGCTCCTTCAGCTGCTCAATCTCTCGCTCTGACCGCTGTTTGATGTGGTTCAGCTCCATGTAGACATCCTGGTATTTCCCTGAGGCAAACCTCTTATCCTTTTGCATCATTTGGAGTTCGTCCCTAAGACACCGGATTTCTTGCTTCAGGTACAGAAGTTCGTTCTCCTTCACTCGCAGCAGCACCTCCAGCTCACAAGAGTTCCTCTCGTTGTTGTGTGAAGCACCATCACGTGAGCCTTGGGCTGCAATGAATGCTCGTAGTTGCCCAATTTCCTCCGATAGGCGCCTCTGTAACTCCTGGTTTTGCCGCAGCAACTCCTTTCCCTCCTGTTGGCAGTGCTGCAGCATAAGCTCCTGCTCTTCTGCCTTCTGCACAAGGCCCCCAATCTCCAGGCACTTCTGGGAATACTGCTCTGAAAGCACCTGCAGCTCCCTCTTCAGGGACTCGACGTCAGACTGATGCTGCCGCCGGAGTGTGTCGGTGTCTAAACCACCCTTCTGGAAGCTGCGGGTCCTGCCCAGTTCTTTATTCAGCTCTTCCCTGTGTGCCTTCTTCAGTGCTTCAATTGCTGCCGCTGTAGCAGCTGCCTCCTCAGACAGAAGCCGCTCCTTCTCTTGCCGCAACCGCTCCATCTCCTGCTGGTGATGCCGCTGCAGTTCCGTCATAACCTGTTGATGGGAAGTCTCCATCTCTGCTAAACTGCGCTCACATGCCTCCTGAGAGATGTAGCCTCGGGGTGCGTGCCCATCTCGGTGAGGTTTTGCTTCACTGTGGGCACGCAAGGACTCCAGCTGTGACCTCAGAACCTGGACCTCTTTCTCCAGCGCCTCGTTTGCACCCTCGTGGGCTCCTTTGCCCTGGTTCAGCAGTGCCATCAGGGGCACCCGCTTGGATTCCTTCAGGGGCAAGCGCTCCAGCTCCTGCCACTTCTTCTCTATCTCTTCGCTCAGCCGAGTCCTCTGGGCTTCGGAGAGGGGGCCCCCCGGAGCCTCGTGGCCTCCTGCTTTAGGGCAGACGTCCCCTGCCAGGCCATCTGTCTGCAGGACCCCAGTGGCCGGAGACTCAAACCACTTCCGCCTTTCCTCGGAGCGGAGAGCCAGGTCCCTCTCCAGCTCCTCGCGCTCGGCCACGCCCTCCGTGGCTCTCGCGCTCCTCTTGTCCATTGCGGAGATCCGTGGCCCGCGGGCCCCTGCTGCAAGGGCGACAGCTCCACGTAGTCAAAAGCGTGGCGCGGCCCATCTGCTCTCCTGCTGCTGCCGCTCCTGGTTACCGCCTCAGACCCTGTGCTTGGCCGCTGCTCCTCTGTCCTGACGGAGCTCTTGGGGGATCCATAGCTGCGGAAGGAATTCTCCTTATTGCTGTCAGATAGCTTTGTGACATCCGGCACACTGGCAGGGCGTATACTTTTCCTCAGAGCTTCTATCCAGTTCCGCCGGATTCCCGATGTCATCGCAGACAACGTAAAGACACCATCTTTAGTGTGTATCTGGAAGCCATAGTTCCGCTGCACTGCATATTCTGTCACGTCGGTGCAAGAGCGAAGGTCAATCTCTCCATCCAGTTCATCGGCCTCCTCAGCATTGGAGTCCCTGTAATACCTCAGGCTCGAGTCTGTCAACACAAACCAATGCTTCGTCCACTCTCCTGGCTCCTCCAATATGGACATCCATCCCTTCTTGAAATTGAGAAGATCCGGCTGATACAAGAGCTTCTCTTTGTTGCTGCGGTCACTCTCCGGCCGACTTTCTGGCCTCCTTCCCCGATTCGTATGTTCATCCTCTACCTGTTCCATTGGATTCCCTTGATTTCTCCAGTGACCCTCCAATTGCTGCTGCTGCTGCCCAGGCTTTGCCGAATGAGGACATTCTCCGTGGCTCATCCAGTCTCTCTCCAAGAGCTGCATTGGATGCACGTGGCACAAGGACCCTTCATGGCTCTTTGGGCTAGCCTCCGGCCTCGCGGGGCAAGAGGGGTCTCCTGGGCCAGCCCTCTTCAGCTCAGCCACTGGCAGGCTGGCGAGGCACAGGGATGTGCTGCTATCTTCCCAGTTGTCCTGTCTCCTGGGATCAAAAGGGTTGACCGGCTCTTCTTCGCCCGGCCAATCAGTGTCTAGACTCGTCCGTAGGGTCCTGCTGCAGGGCTCCCTTGGGCTTTTCCAACTGTCTTCTGCGTGCTGCTTGCTCACAGTGCAACACCTTGCCTGCTGTGGATATGCGCGGCTACTCTCTGCCAGCCGCCCAGGACTGGGAGACCGCCTGACCTCCCCAGAGCTATGCCGGCCACTTTCTCTGCAGCTCCCCGGGCTCAGGGAGCGCCTGGTCTCTCTCTGGCTACCCCCAGGACTAAATAGACCCCCAACCTCCCCACGGTTTTTCAAACCAATCCCTGCATCTCTCCCTGGGCCGAGAGACCGCCTGGCAGAAATATAATAGAAATATAATAGAAATATAATAGACATAATGGAATATCTACAAGTAAGAAGAGACAAACAAGCAGCCCTGATTTCAATCGATGCGGAGAAGGCATTCGACAAAATCTCATGGGGATTTATGAAAAAACTATTAAAAGAATTGTGTCTAGGTGAAAAATTCCAAAAAGGTATAAATGCAATATATAACCAACAGAAAGCAAAAATTATCATTAATGGAGAGTTTGGAGAAGAAATCAACATCTTTAAAGGTACAAGACAAGGATGCCCCCTATCCCCAATGTTATTTATAATAGTATTAGAGGTTCTATTAAAGAAAATAAGGCAGGACAACCAAACAAGAGGAATAGCAGTTGGTGAAAAAAGATACAAGTTAAGAGCCTTTGCAGATGTTGTTATGATCACAACAGAAAATCCCCTACAATGTGCACCTAGAATATTGGAATGCATAAACGAATATGGCAGATTAGCAGGATTCAAATTAAACTATGGGAAAACCAAAATACTAGTGAAAAACATGGAAGAAAAAGATAAAGTGAAATTACAAGAAATTACAGGATTGGAAATTAAAAAGAAAATAAGGTATCTTGGAATAAATTTAACAACAAACACTATAGATTTAAGTAATGAGAACTATGGGAAAACATGGAATGAAATAAAAATGACTTGCAAGTATGGGGAAATTAAATCTTTCCTTACTAGGGAAAATATCGGTAATAAAGATGAACATATTACCAAGGATGATGTCTTTATTTCAAAGTATCCCAATACTAGGAGGAGATAAATGTTTTAATAACTGGAAAAGAGATTTGGCTAAATTTGTATGGCCAGGTTAAAAGCCAAGAATAAAACACAAAATAATGATAGATAAGAAGGAGAGAGGAGGATTTGGTCTCCCAGATATGGAGTTATATCACGATGCGGTGGGTCTGACCTGGCTAAAGGAATGGATCAAATTAGATGACTCGGATGTATTGGATTTAGAGGGAGTAGAGACGAGATTTGGATGGCATGCCTATCTAATAGATGAAAAAGTGAGAGTACATAAAGGCTTCCTAGGGCATATAATCAGAAAATCTATATATAAAATATGGGAGAAATATAAAAGACTCCTAGAACCGAAAACTCCCTGGTGGGCATCGCCAGCAGAAATTGTCGCAGTGAAAAAATTAAATATGAAAGAAAATTGGGCTACTTATAAAACTGTATTAAAGGAAGAAAACGGAGAATTGGAATTAAAGGATTACACAGAAATTAAAGCTCATATTAGTGATTGGTTCCAATATATTCAAATTAAGTATAGATTAGCGAAAGACAAAAAGTTAGGATTTGAAAAAGAAATATCAAAATTCGATGAATACTTAATACAAGAAAAATAAAAATATATATCTAAATTGTATAATCTGATTTTAGAGTGGGAAACAAAGGATGAATTGGTTAAAGCATCAATGATTAAATGGGCGCAAGATATTGGGAAAAATATTATGTTTGAACAATGGGAAAAATTGTGGAAAGAAGATATGAAATTCACTATGTGTTATATACTGAAAGAAAATTACCTTAAAATGCAACATAGATGGTATTTAACACCTGAAAGAATAGCAAAAATGAATAAAAATTGTAGCGATGTCTGCTGGCGATGCAACACGGGAAAAGGTACTATGATACATATATGGTGGAATTGTTTAAACATCAAACAATTTTGGGAAATAATATATAATGAAATGAAAAAAATGTTTAGATACTCATTTAGGAAAACACCAGAAGGTTTTCTATTGGGAATAGTACCAGGAAGCCTAAAGGAAGAAGATAAGACCTTATATTTATACGCAACAGTAGCAGCAAGGCTATTGATTGCGAAAAACTGGAAAAGTGGTATAATACCGACAAAAATAGAGTGGCTTGCCAAATTATTGGAGTATTACAATATATCCAAAACAATGGAAGAAATTGGAAGGATTTCAAAAGAAAAGATAGATAGGGACTGGAAGGTGTTTAAAAGATACTTGCAAAATCATATCGAAAAATCAGAACTCCTATTAGAATAAACAAGTTCCGTTTCAAATACTGAAATATCAAATAAGATGGATAACAATGTGTAATAGAAAAAGAAGTATGAAATTAGGCTAAAGGTGTGTGAAAGAAAGTAATAGAAGTGGAAAGAAATTGTAATTGAGTAGATTGGAAGTCAAACACAAAGGTGGGGTGAGGGGTGGTGGATGGTGATGGGGAAAGGAATTATTTGTGGGATTGAGTGTAAGTATGTTTGAACACTTTTAAGGATTGTATGAAATGTATGTTTGTATGCTTGTATATGTGTATTAATGATGAACTATTTTAACAATAAAAACTTATTAAAAAAACACACAAAATAAATGTTTTTGATATCTGGTGCAACATAGAGAGGGCAAGACAAACATGCGTTGGGAGGTAGTTCTGGAGCCTAGGTACAACTGCCAAGATTACATTTCCCATTCAAACCAAAGAGGCCTCAGGGATATTTGAAGATAAAAGGCTTCCACACAAGTTCATTTAAGGAGAAGCCAGCCCTTCAGATACTTCAGATTCCATCTCTATATACATCCCCCTTCAGACTAAGGTAAGTCATGTATGGTTGAAGGGTAGCACTGGCATGCACATCATTATCTAAGGGGCAGGTCTAACTTTTGCATTCTGGAGTATCCCTTCACACATTCATTTTCCATGGCTCCAAATGCCTAGGACTACACATATAAAGGTATCTGTTTTTGAGAACAGAATATAATCTAGCTTTGACCCTATGATGTTAAAATGCTACTATTAGTCAAGGTTGACCAAGCCAAGCTACATGGACCTCTGATTTGACTCACTATAAAGCAACTCATTGCATTTAATACACTTTGAGATTTATTTACAGAGCAGGTGGTGCTCATTCACAGGCCTTCTGTTCCATTGCAAATAAGATTTGTGGATTAACCAAGACACAGAGTTAATTTTTAATGACAATCCTTTCCTCCATATTGTGGAGGCCTCCAAAGCAATTAAATATTGAATAAAGAACTCACCATTGTTGAGAAGAAAAGAGGGAGAAGGAGGAACAACACAGGATATATATAAAAATAATATGCCTTTCAAAACACAAATTCACAAAAGGATTAAAAGCAGCTAAATCTTGGCTGTAACTCTCAACATCTAAAGGAGCTTGAGGGCTCCAACTGAAGGCAGCAGACATGCAGGTCAAGAACAAAGGTTTTTGAATCAGCAACGAACTCTCTCTTCCCACTGGACCATTTCAGTTTCTGCAGCCAGAAAACAGTTCAGAAAGGCAGCTGCCTACTGACAGATTGCAGGGAATTCGGTTAGAAGACTCTGCCTTACATTTGGATGTTTTAAAGAAACAGCAAATGTGGTGGGATACATGGGGCTAGAGATGCTTACAAAAATCCTCACCATCTGAACTTTTTGGGATTCTTCAAATGACCTTAATGTTGTTTACAAAGTAGTAGTGAGGCATTGCTGGTGTCGGAACACGCCTGGGGGGCTCACGCTGCCCCCGGAATGAGACAGACCTCTCCGGGTGTCTTCTTGATGAAGCACAGCCTGGGACATTCACAAATCAGTCCCGGTGAGCACCAGCAACATATATCAAAAGACATGTGCCCACTCAATTAGCAAAGTATAACAGAAACAATCATGGAGCATGAGTGTAGCATTCAAAGTATTTATTAAGCAATACATACAGGACAAAGCAATCATGGTGTCTTCTCACATCTTCTCCGAGAGAGAGAGAGAGAGAGAGAGAGAGTATAAAAGTACAGTAGAAATGGAAGAGATAAGACTAGCTTCCGTTCTCACACTTTCCAAGCCTAGAAAGGAAACACTGACGTGATGTAACAATCACACATCCAGCAACGGAAGAGTGAAATGCTGACAGCTGGTCCACCATTTTTCTGGTTTTGTTTCCATAATTTTATAATTGATGATTTTAAATGCTGTAAGCCACCTTGAATCCTAACTTGGGAGAGAGGCAGGATATAAATATACTAAATAAGTAAAACAAATAATTAAAACACTGAGCAAAGAAGAAAAAGGAGGGAGATAGAATCTTGGTTTGATCATGAGGTTTTTTGTACATAGGTGTAATCCATGTTCATGGGTGAGGAGAAGCAAACCAAAACCTGTGGTCAGTTGCACATGCGCCAATTCCAAAATTAATTCTAAACATATGCATAGGGTGGTATTCAATGTAGCACTAAGGCAAACTTCTATGCCTGCAAGGATTTCTTCATGTTCAATGGAATATTCTTCCCCCATATGTGCCTCCTAAGATGGGAGATGGGAATAGTCTTGGTGCACTAGCAGTAAGCCTTGTTTGAGCACAATTA